ACACACACACACATATACACACACACACACACAAAGAAAGAAAAACAAGTAGATAGAATAGAAAAAATAGAAAGCTAGTGTTTGTTTTTTGTTGTTTTTTTTTAATAAAGAATAAAAAAGGTAAATATAGATAAAGTAGAATTAAAATAGAATAGAAAGTGTTAGAGTTAGAGGGTCAAATAAAGGTATTGTAGAAACGTAATTTTCTGTAAAGTTGCTTTGCAACGATTTGTATCGTGAAAAGCGCTATACAAATAAACTTGGATTGAAACTTGAATTGAATTACAGAAGATCTAACTAGATTAAATTAATCTTCAGATACCCTGCTTTGTACATGCAGCACATATTCCCAACACACTAGAGAGGCATTAAATAAGTGCTTGAAGTGTAAGATAAATGTTTTCCTTTAACAGATGCAACACTTGTGTTAAGCATTTTCTCCCCTTGTTTAACACTGAAGAGTTCGTCTTGTAAATCCCATTTTGCATGCATGTAAATATGTCACAACAAAATCCATGACTACTTTGATTGTTATATACACATATTTATATACATTGTAGCGTCTGCGTAAAATCATGGATGGTCTTTGGGGTTTATGGCTTAAGAGACCCTTTTTAACCTTTGACATTTGCATATAAATTACAGTCCTGGCCACATTTATATGCATGCTAAATTGCCAATGGTTCCTCTCACTATCAAGGAAATGTTGAACAGCTCCACCACTCGCATCTCCCCGTCTGACTTCAAACAGCTTCCAAAGACAAGTAAATGACACCCCGGTGCCAGGCACCGATGGGCCTAGCTGACCAGCAAACTACAACAGGCTCACATAACACACACACACATAAAGTGCTCGGTGGACGGACAGATCAAATAATTGTAATATTGATTCTGCTACAGTTAATTCTAATATCTAATCTAAATATTTATTATTAATCATAACCAGTTATAATTAGTCATAAATATTTCCCTTTTGAGCTGATTTACTACAACATATTATACAGTAGTGAGAAAGCTTGAGTTCATATTGAGACATTTGACTTGGTGCACACTGTGAAGTTGTTGAGATCAATTCTAAACTTCAGAGTACACACATGTGAGAGCACCACAGTCTCTAGCTAAGGAGGAAGATCTGGGGGCTGTTTCATAAAACAAGTTTATCAAATAAGCCAGGCTTATTTCAGTTAGTCTGACTTATTGTCACTTGATTTGGTTTCAGAAAGCAAATTTACCATAGCTCAAGCTTTCTCTCGGGTTTTATGACAGCTGTACCTTTTATGGTTATTATAGAACATTAAAACATTACAATATAAAATTGCTCTTTAAAGCATTAAAACATTAAAAACACTAAATTAAGGTTTAAAATCACTAAATTAAAAATGAAAATAAAAACATAGAAAACAGACTGCATTTTAACTGGTAAGAGGAACAGAAATTAACTCATTTGAGCTAGTAATTAGGGCTGTATTAGCTAGCTTACATTTGATTTACAGTGACTGCTATCATAAAAATACACTTATATGTTGGATTAAAATTCTACATGTGTCACATTTAATGTCCAACAACAAATATTTTAGCAAAATGTATATTGTACTAGAATTATTGCGCTTTTATTCTATTGTGTTCCGTCTGTTTAGCGTGCAGAAGCACTCGTTTACTCGTGTAAGCCTCGTTCACTCCTGACAGCAAAATTGATATATTTGCATGATTTTCTAACATTACAGATGAATATAACTGTGACATATCCATTATGCACTGGGGAAAACACAACGTCTCAAATGCATTAAACAGCACAAATATTCGCTGTTTGCCATGGTGGATCGATTTGATCCATGATCGACATTAATCGCTGCTTAAGAATAAGTGTGAACATCAAATTATCTTGACTCAACCTGGATCGAATCAGTGAGACTGCGTGAACTTAAATTGTTGTTTATGAAACCGTGTATGAATACATTATAACAAATTTGGAGTCTCTATCTCAAACCTAAAGCACCACCAATGGGTCAAATAAGCATGATCTTTACACTAATAACATTTGCAAAAAATGTTTCTGAAGACAATCACCTATTGCACCTTTAAGTCCTAGCAGATAAATTTTGATTCTGGAGATCATGTCGGGTCGAATGCACACCGTGGGTGCGTCTCAATCAGCTCCATACGTCATGAATCAATATATTATGTGCACAAATTTGGGCACTGGTAAGTTCACTACCTGTCTAGGTATGCTTATGCTGAAATGTAATTAAATAATTATTATGTGTCATGATGTGTATTGATGTCAGGGTTATGTTTTGTTTTGCCTTTGTGTTTTTGGATTTCTGTCTGCTGTGTTAGTTTTTCTTCGACCCAGTTTTCCCCATGAATTGGACCATGGAGCAATTGAAGAAGGTATGAATCTTGTTTTTTTAGATCAGGTTGATGGTCAGGTGCATGTGCGTCACCTTCATGGCAATGGTTTATCCTGGTGATAGTAGCCTCTTTCATCAGGATAACGCACCCTGACACACTGCACACATGGTTTAGGAATGGTTTGAGGAACATGACAAAGAGTTCAAGGTTTTCCTTGGCCTCCAAATAACCCAGATCTCAGTCTCATTGAGCATAAACACATTTATATTCAAATTTACATTCATAAAATACATTGCACAAATGCAAAACACTATTCGCACACATAGTGTGCACTTAAAGTTTTGAGTGTTTTGCATTCACAAATTGTTTGTTGAATAGGCATTTGCAAATCATCACCTTGAATTTGTGTTTGTGTATTTTGAGACTTTCCTGGTAGGTCATGTTTCATCAGTGCCGTTCTCTTCAGCCAATCAGATTTGAGCCTCTCAATCGGTGAATCATAACCCACTGTGGGCTTTTCGTGTACAACATTTATTAATCACTGTATATAAGCTACATGTGAGTAACTCAGAAGCCAGACCCAAAACAAAGAAGAACAATTTATAAACAGTCATACACTTTTGAGAGTAATATTCTTACATGATTTCCTAAGTTAAACAGTTAGTAGAGAATGGAAAACATTAATTTGATTGTTTTGATGTTTATTTCTGAGAAGCACTGTAATGCTTCTAAGACACAGGTTTGATCTTCATGCTGATGGATTTCATACCAACAGCGTAACCCTTCCAGGTAAACCAAACATTTCAAATAGCGTAATGGGTGGCATCTTCACCCCATAAATACCAACCGTTGGGGTTTGCACGGTGACAGTTGAAGTACCAAAATGCCCCGAGACAGCGTTTGGCACAGTTAAGTGGACTGATGTCTTGGTCCTTGTCAAAGGTGGAGAACTTGTATCCATTATGGCCAGATAAAGAGTCACCTGCAGAGAAGAAGAGCATCACTGAGAAAAGAAAAAAAAAACCCAACTAGTATGAGTGTTCAGGAGTATAAAGAACAGTGCCCTACCAGCTCCTCCATCAGTGAATCCTGAAACATTCAGTTCATACCCGTCAGCTTCAGGATCCACAGAGAAGGACGAATACTGAGCGAAAACTTTATTTCCTTGAAAGTCCTCCAGATCCACTCTCAGCTTGTAATTCCTGTTGCGTGTCAGCTGGTACATGTTCTCCAGCCCTGATCATACACACACATGAAGAACACGTTCAACCAAACACTGGACATGAACATCCACACAAACACACACATGAAGAACACGTTCAAC